ATCGTATGTGCAGTGGATGCTGTATGTGTGACAACGCAGAACGGCGCCCAAGTCTGTGAATGTAAAGCAGGTTTTACCGGAAATGGACTCGATTGTAGAGGTGAGCAAACTTGCAAGTTTCTCTCTAAATACAGTCTACTAACAGTTTTGAAACGATTTAATTTTCGGCTTTTCTTTTACAGTATTGATTTTGCTTGTTTGTGAAGTTCATTAATATTTACCCATTTTTTAGACATCGATGAATGCGCAAAGCTTAACCTCAAATGCCACAGGAAAGCCAAGTGTGTTAATCAGCCTGGATCTTACGTTTGTCGTTGTAATCGAGGGTATTATGGCAGCGGTTTCAATTGTTCGAGTAAGTAATTACCCAATCCAAAGGCAACATCAATCTTTAATAATAATAATAATAATAATAATGATAATAATAATGCACTTTATTTAAAGAGGGTAGCACTGAATAGTTACAGAAACTAGTAAACTTGTGATCCTCTATCAAGCGGATCTCTCAAGCGCATAAACTGCCCATTCAATGATCCATTTTTTTCATTTATCTTGTCGCCCCATGTAACAGAATCCAAGACAGTCTTGGATTCTGGATTCTACGCCGTGGATTCCTGATTCCAGGTATTATCTTGCAGTCTTTGTTAGTGAAACTTGGATTCTGGATTTCAATCGTTAGTGAGCTTCCAGATTCCTTGAGTTGTATTCCGGGTTCCAAAGCCTAACATCCCGGATTCCACGAGAAAAAATCCCGTATCCCGGATTCCACAAGCAAAAATTTCCCGGGTTCTGGAATCCAGATTCCCCTACATTGGGCGATATCTTATTTAAGACGTCGTGCAAAAAAGCAAAGTAAATGAACTGAAAAATCATTGTACACAACGGCCAAGCTAATGATTATAATAGGCCCAACTTATTGAGCTGTTTTCCTACCGAAAAGATATTTTGTGTACATGTACATTCTGACATTTGAACATTTAACCAAGGCATTCAGATCAACATTGTTGCACCTCATATTTTAGCAACTAAAGAGACACAGTCAGTTAATATTCATGCGCATTAGATACCAGTTTTTAGCTTATTTGCAGATCACAAGATACCTAATTCATACTGTTTTTAACCAAATATGATAAATTGTATCTCGCCATTGCGCCACCCTTGTTCTCCTAAATGGACAATGCTCACTAATTACTTAGTCAAAGGTTGTGCCTTGACCACAACTTTTCTTTCCTGCCATACATAAGTCAAACGCTGCAACTCAGTATTTGATCTGCAATATTTGATCGTAATTTTCCTCATGGTTAGGTGATGGAACGTGTGAAGGGGTAGTTTGCGACTACAACGCTGACTGTATAGAAGTAAGTAATGACGTAGATCCGGGTAAGGAGTGCCGATGTAAAACAGGCTTCACAGGGAACGGAGAAATTTGTACCGGTGAGTAATTTTTTAAAAAATGTTGTGAGAGTTTACCATAAAACAAACGGTGTTCGGTCGAGATTTTTTAACTGTCTTACTAACTTTGTGCCTTACAGTAGGCCAAGAAAAAGGATTTAGGAAATAAAGCCTCGTTCAGACCGCGTGACACCCCCTCTCAACATTTTTGTGAGATGGGGTGACATGTCGCGCGAAAAGTTACGAAAACTTTGTTCTTTTGTTTTCGAAATGCTGGAGCCGTTTACAAAGTTCTCTCCACTTTGTCATATTTGCGCAAGGCCAGTGCATTTTCTTTTTCTTTTGTGAGGATTGATACACTAAACGTTGTGACCGCTTGATCTAGCATGTCCTTGAAAGCTCCCACAATTCTCTCGGCAAATTTGGAAGCTGTCTGACCCACTCTTTCAAAATAGTTGGTCTGGCCGACCGCTGTGTATCCACGTTTTCCTTTTGTGATCATATAATACGGTTATCTATCTATGTTTGTCACGGGAGAATGTTATGACACCTCGATTATTCATGGTATTCTTACTCTCTCTTTGCGACCTTATCACCCAGCCGGAATGAAAAGGATGAGTGAGTGAGAGTTAACTCTTTCAATTGACATTCCCTGAGATTGTGGACCCTGACCCAAGAATGATCAAAATCAATTTTCTCGTAACGGTTACAATACATAATCAAGAGAAAAGGTTTCTGAGAGTTACTAAAATAATCACCATAGGAAATGTGCCTTGATGTTTTATAAAATTCTCTAAATTAATTCCCTAACGAAATGTATCGTAATCATTCTATGTGAATTCGCATGTACATCTGCAGCTTAGGTCTGTTTCAAACGTCGCGCTACTGCCGTGCTAAAGTCAAATTTAATTCGATCAATTTAGTTCGGCACGGCAGTAGCACGACGTTTGAAACGGGCCTTAGCCTACGCACAAGGCGAATATTTACTTGTCACCTTTTCTTGTTAGACATAGACGAGTGTGAAGACCCTACTGTGTGTCCTGATAAGGCAGACTGCTTCAACATGGCAGGTTCCTTTATGTGTCATTGTTCACCAGGGTACAAAATGGTTGGACAAACGTGTAAAAGTATGTATTTTTTTTATCACCAGGTTTCGTTTCAAGGCGCCCTACTATTGGCGACCCTAACAAATGATAGTCAGATTGTTACTATAAAATTTGTTACTACTAAGAAAAACGTGTATCGCGGGGGGTGGGGCGGGAAGGAGGGTAAGTTTTTTTTTTTTTTTAACACCGGGTTTTGTTTAAAGGGGCTTTACTATTGGGGACCCAAACAAATGAGAGGTAGGTTTTTACTATAAATTTTGTTCTTAAAAGAAAAGAGGTGTGTGGGGGGGGGGGGGGGGGGAGGGGGGGGTAGTTTTGGGCACTTAAAGAGTTAAGGGTGGTTGGGGCACTTAGGGGGGGGGGGGGATTGTGTAACGGGGATGGCGTTTTTCACAGTTTTTCTTTCGTTGGTGGTCTTCGTAGAGAGGAGTCTCAAAACAGAGAGAGTGTGGGACTTTTCTTAGAACTTAAAATAAACAGTTTCCGAGTAATGTACATAAACTTTTTTTTTTTTTTAACAGAGGAATGCAAATTCTGTCTGAATGGTGGGTCATGCACTGAGAACAGTACATGTCTTTGTCCTCCTGGCTTTTCGGGCAAAAGATGCCAATGGCGTAAGTATAATCGAGGTTTTAGAAGTGCGTGAAAAATGTTTCTTAAATATGTTTTTCGGTTAGAGGGCTCAAAATATATTTGGGACTGTTTCTGGTCGTGTTGACCGGGCAAATAAATTTAAAGCACGGTCACGTCTCTCTTCTGACCAGGCAAAATGCTAAAAATAACACTAGCCTAACAAGCAAAAACATTAAGTAAGGAAAGATGCTTGCCCTCTTAAAACGTAATGGTGTAAGAATATTTTGTTGTGGTGGTGGTAGTGGTGGTTGTTGTGGCCGGTCAAAATGGCCGGCAAAACGGAAACTTTGTCCGGACGAATGGTCATCTTGGCGGAACGTTGTTGGTTGACCTGTCGTTACTTCGAGCCCTGCGGGTAACGAAAAATAATTGTTGCTTTATGCTGTTGTCCATACCGACACTACAAAATATTTGAGTTTGCGACCATTCTAGAAAGAGCACTTTGTAACACCGCTTCTGGTAATAAGAATTACATATGCTTCGTTTTAGCATACCAGGGGCGTAGTCAGCTTTTTGACTGGTTGTAGACCCGGCTAACTTTCATTTCCACTTATCTTGAAAATTACACGCTTGACTAGTACGCACTGACCTCACCAACACTTTGAGCTCTTAAGCTTTTTAATTCATCCCAACAACGCATAATTTATTACAAACGGTAGAGTGATCAAACCAAAAATTTGTAGGCCCGGGCCTACAGGTCTATGGGCTGGCTATGCCCCTGCATACAAAGTTTATACTTACACTAATAGTCTATAAGACTCGAAGAGCACCGATAATATATAGATTTAGCCAGGGCTAAAAGCGAAGCTTTCGATAATATTTACAGTTTGTTCAAACAAAATATAAAATCGTGTAATGCTAAGCGGCTAAGGCATGCAACGCCGGAAAAAGGTGAAAAACAACAATAGGTCTAATTAGCCAAAGCAACTTTGCACGTGCAGCACACTTTTTTGTACATTTCTTTGCCTTTGTTTTGCACGACTACAACGTGAAACTTCCAGAAATTTCTTAGTCACACGTTTTATGGAGGAAATGTCGTACGTGTTCCCGTTCACTTTTTTTCACTGCCGCTCATTTTCACCTTGCATTGGTGGCCGCTAGCATTTCTCATTTTGTCACCGCCGCTACAAAATTTTCATGTTGTTTTTCCAACAAAAAAATGTCTCCTTTGTTTTTTATCTCTCGCTCTAAATCCCTTTCGCCCTTTTTCTCGTTGACCGTCGCTAACCTGCCGCCCTCTTTCTCTTTTCCTGTCCTTCTCTAGCTCTATATTCCAAATTTGTGGACATGACAATTTATCTAAGCTTAATGCTTTAGACAACACGAATGCAGAAACATTTACCGTTTTCCGTTATCGTCTTTATTGACTCTTTTGTTGTCTCTGCTTTACAAGACGCCGGTGGCCATGCGATTTCCCGCCAAAATAACCTAGAGTTGCATTTGGGTTACCATACCTGTTGATTGAGTTATTTTACATTGGTATGACTCTGGTGCGGACGGACAGTCTCTCGGGCGGGCGGGCGGGTGGGATGTCGGTGTACGGTCACGTGATTACCAAATTTTCTCGGATGGGTAGATTACTTCATTTTCTTACCCATGGTGCTCCGCTGGCGCGCTTCGCGCGCGAGAGCTCCGCTAATGAGGCTCTTGTATTAGGGTTGCTATACCTTCTCACGGTCGTGGTTACCAAGGCAGCTCATTTTAGCAAATTTTGTATTTTTTTTTTTAGATGGCGAAGCATCACTAATCTATAGCAAAGGCAACAGCATTCAACGCTTGTCCCTTCCCCCTCGACCCAACGATGTAGGAATCATTTACCAGCGCCCAGGAGCTGTGCATGTAGGCGTTGACTATGATTGCGTAGAGCAGATGGTGTACTGGACGGAGGTCATAAAAGGGACTATCGTGCGGGCAAAGTATGACGGAAGCGACATGGAGGTTATTGTTAACAGCGGAAAAACTACAAGCCCCGAAGGTAAAATAAATATTTCATCTTCAATAGTGCTTAGATTTGAGGGAGCACCGTCCAGGAATTTTTGTTGTTCAACCTATGAGCCAATGATGTTTTTGCTCACACTAGCGTCACCTTCAGAACGAGGAGCGGTACATTTCAAATCAGTTCGCTTGCTATGTTTTTGTCGATTATTTTGACACAATTGCAATGAAATTATGTTTTAATGTTCTTATTAAATCCATCTTTGGTTTCTGTTTTCCAAACTATGCGAAAGATTTTAAACCTTAACTAGTAAGAAGCACTTCCTACCACGGACTGCATCATCGAGTTATAAAATTAATCGAGCAAGCTTGACTTCATGCACAGTGTTAATCATTGAAGCCAAATTTTATTCTTAAGTGTAGAAGCTACGTGTGGGCAACGCGCTACGTTTGGGCAACGCGCCAAGCTGTAGGAGGCCATAGATCAGTACCAATTTTCTAAACCAAAAATTTAAAACAAGAATCTATAGTTGATGAAGGATTGTTGGATATATTAGCCTATATTGACTACTGTTTATTTGAACTAGCTCGTACTTTTGTAACTCAATGTTGTGCCTTGTAAAGTATTCATGCGTTGTTCTTTGACAGGAATTGCAGTTGATTGGCTAGGAAGAAATGTTTATTGGACCGATTCGCGCCTGGATGCCATTCAGGTAGCGAATCTCGATGGAAGTCAAAGAAAGACACTCATCTCGTCAGATCTGAGGAATCCTCGAGCCATCATTGTCGATCCGCCCAATGGGTGAGACTCGTTTCTTTACTACAGATTTACGAGGAGTAGCCTGTGCATAGCCGACCCTTTCCCTTTCCTGTTGTGGTTGTGGGGAAGGAGGATAGAGTCCGTAAAATAATAGATGTTACCGTACCAGCTGATTGCAGAGTTAATTCAAAGGAAAGTGAAAAAATTGAGAAATATCAAGATCTCAAGCGTGAGATATCAACGATGTGGGCTATGCGAAAGGCGGAGGTGATACCGGTTGTTGTTGGAGCTTTGGGAGCAATCGGTGCAGAAGACCGCATTACATGGAATTGCAAGAATACTACGAAGAGAGAATAAAATCTAATATTAACAATACCACTCAGTTTTTTGTTCCCAGAATAGCAGAGGCAGTTTGTGTGAAGTTGGTCTTCTTAGGCGAAATGGCTTCAGAAAATTTGGCATGTGTGAACTCTTTCTTAAACAATTGAATATTCTTAATTACCTTTTCCCTTTTTTATCTTTACTTAAGGAAAATGTACTGGGCAGACTGGGGTCGAAATCGCCCGAAAATAGAAGTAGCAAACATGGATGGATCCGATCGCCGAGTATTGGTGCAATCTCCGGCACTCAAAGTTCCAAACGGCTTGACTCTTGTGCAATCCACAAATGAACTGTGCTATTGCGATGCAGGTGTAAAGGAGATCTGTTGTGTGAATTTAGGCGATCTGAGTATGCGTAAAGTGGTTCGTCGAGCGCTCTATCCATTTGGCTTAACCAACTTCAATAGAACGCTGTTCTGGACCGACTGGAGACAGGGAAGGATCCAGAGAATGGGATTGAGCGCTGAAACTCGAGATGCACCTCTTAGATCATTCGTAGGTAGTAGCGGAAAGATCTTTGACATCAAGGCAGTACAACCTTGTGAAAAAACAGGTAGGTGGATATCTATGTTTTCCTTTAGTGTTTACTGATGAATGATCCTGGTAGGAAAGAGAAACTTGGCTAGACAATAACAGGAAAGGGAACGTCTGGTAATTCTTGAAAGCACCGACAGTCTTATGTCTTGTTATTGCCCAGTTCTTTGCCTTTTATGAAAATCAATGAATTTGCTGTCACAGTGATATAGGCATCCCCTGGTTTTGGGCATCCCCATTCCTAAAACCCTAGTGATATGGGCATCCCCTGTAACCCTAACCCTAATTTTAAGCCAAATCGCCAAGGTAATATGAAAAGGGGATGCCCATATCTCTAGGGTTTTGGGAACGAGGATGCCCAAAGCGCGGGGATGCCCATATCACTGTAACATCGCCACTTTAGAAGCGAGGAAACTGGGCCGAGCTAACTGTCGCAAAGACTTCTGGGACTGTTTCTGAGGAGAGGAAAAAATTGGCCAATTCCTGACCTGCGCGCGGTCACAAGCTGAGAAGTCTTTGCGAAAGGTTACTCGGCACAGATTCCTTCTCGTTTGTTATTTGGCGAATTGTTTTTATCTATCAATAAAGAGGTGCCACTTCACTTTTTTTTAATATGTTCTGTTTGTAGTGGTATTGAATCATCCTCGGAGACCCTGGGGCAGATAGTGGGGACGAGGGAAAGTCCAAACGGGCGGAAAAATGTGGCGCGAAGAAAAGTAAAGAACGGCGGGAAGAGCCCCTGGGGACAATGTCTTACCAGACCAGTTCCAAACGGTCGCCGCCGTTCTGGCTTCTGATTGGTGCCAGAAAAACACACGTTTTCTGGCACCAATCAGAAGCCAGAACGGCGGCGACCGTTTGGAACTGGTCTGGTAAGACATTGTCCCCAGGGGCTCTTCTCGCCGTTCTTTACTTTTCTTCGTTCCATATATATTTTTCCGCCCATTTAGACTTTCCCTCGCCCCCTTTATCTGCCCCTGGGTCTCCGAGGATGGTATTGAATCTACACTTGAAATATCTGGCTTGAGAAAAGATCAGCTCTAAAAAAATAACACGAGCAATTTCGTCGCTTGAAATTGCCTGCGACTAAAAAAACACATATATAAAGAATTTTCTTTAAAAATTTCCTTCCTTTTCAGCCCTCAAGTACGAGAATCCCTGTGATGTTGCAAATGATGGCTGTTCGGGTTTGTGTTTATTAAAAGCAAAAAGCTTCTCATGTTTATGCCCCGATGGACTTCATTCTATTAAAGAGGGAAACGCTACAAAATGTGCAGGTAAGGCACACGAAGGTGACATTAAACAGTAGAACCGACCTTGATTGAAGTTGCACAGTATAACAACCTAAGCATGACAGCGATCGAAACGGGAGCGACAGAAGAGCAATTTGATTAATCAAGACAACGATGTCTTTGCATTTGTTTTACATATGCAAAGACAAAGTATAGGGGATGTGCAAGTTTGGGCTCATGCCTTGACGTCGCTTTGTTTCCTTGTACAAGAATCTTCGCTCGACTTAGTCCCTATGACCACTTTAAACCAATCTTAAAAGCGGAGCTCCCGCATTAGACTGGCTGCTTACTTAAAACAGTGAAGTCTAGACAATTCCAAAAAATGACAAATAGTTGATGGGCACCAATGACGATCGGTACAAGCACAACTTCTTTACAATTCGACAGACGCCTTAGATCTTTGCAGCTTTTCAGTAACTCTTTGCTTTAACTCTTCGAAGACAACTTGGAGGCCCTTTTCCTTGGTCTTATACTTATGTTCTAGTGCACCTTGAACTTTCCGCTTAATAGGTCCTCTCCTTAACATACAATCCAGCGGTGTAATGTCTTGTCTGAGTTCATCAATCTGTTTCTTTAGCCTTTGTCTCCATGATGGTTCTTTTCGTGCGTCCTTTATTCTTCCTTTCTTGACGCCCAACGTTCTCCCAACAGCAAACGCAGCTGCCCTTATCAGATTGTTTGTTTCAAAAATGTCCCTTGTTGTTATAACATCCTACTTGCTGAACTTTCTGCTTCACTTTTCGTCCGTCCAGCCTACGCAAGTTCTATGGTTTTGTATTGCTCCCCTGTTCAAATTCTTCCAGTATTTCAAGTGCCAGATTGATGTAATCATCATCTAGTCCATCCCTGCGCATTTTTTATCCGATAGATACGGCAGTATTGTTTTCATTCTCACTCGGTTGAGGATCTTCAAACTCAGGTTGTAAAGAGCTGTAGGGATCTGTAAAGTCTCCATGATTATCTGGAGTAACTTCTGTCATTTGCTCATTTGATGCACCACATTGGTCAATTTTCCTCCTCAGTTCTTTCATTTCTAGGTCAGAAAGCCATCTGTTAACTTTAATTGTCCTCACCTGGTCGGCAAGCCTTTGCTTACTACATTCAAATACACCAATATCATTTCTCCAGATGTTTGACATACGCTTCCCTTACCCGCTTCTAGATGGCTCACTTCTCAAGTAGCATTCCATCACAAGCTTGTTCACGTCCTCGTCCATGAAACTCTTGCATTCACTCCTTTTGTACCCTGATTGTCTAGTCATCCACAGGACCATTGCTTCCTGATCAGAGCCTTTGCTCTTGCTCTCTTTGTCCGGGAGATTATCCAATCGTATGCTCAGAGTAGCCAACTTATTATTATTATTATTTTTTATTTTTATTTTTTATTTTATTTTTATTTTCTTATTTTTATTTTTTTTTGTACTCTTTTACTAAAACATCATGTTGATAATGATGTTTTCTTTCTCCCACAGAAAAATGTGACAGCCCATTGGGAATGGAAAATGGACTGATCGAAAATAAGCAACTATCAGCTCATTCAGCCTGGGACAATAATTACCAACGCTATGGCTCGGCACGTGCTCGGCTGCACCTCAATGAATGGCCTCAAGGCTGGAGAGCGCAGATAAATGACCCATCACCATGGCTACAAATTGACTTACTTTGGACCCATACAGTGACTGCCGTGGCAACTCAGGGGTATGGGAGCAAGGGCGCAAAGGAATGGGTAAAGACCTACGTGCTCTTGACATCACGTGATGGTAAGAGGTGGTACACATACAGGGAACGAGGAAGGAAACGGGTAAGACCACTGGAAATGAAATCAGTGTTAAACTTAAAGAATAATTTTATTTTAGATTTATTTTGCAATTTTGTCAACTGTTATACAAGAATAGTAGTTTAAATTATAAAATATATTAAGATATGATAACAAGTGGCGAGGAAACCTAGTTGAAACCACGTTTATTGCTCAAGATTAGCTTTCCTAGCTCAAGAAACAAAAATAATGCAAGAATCTAAAAAGAAAGACGTCTCAATTAATAATTTGTTTCTTTAAACTTTTTTGATCTATGGAGTAATAAATGACTACTCACCGAAGAAAGACGTAGTGGGTCTAAAGCCAATTGTGATTTTGGTACTGATTCCAAATAACCTGTAATTGGGTACCACTTGTTTGCGGTGTTGAAAATTGGCAGTTACTTGAAAAGTGGCCGAGATCACTTTCCATAAAGTCTTCCTTGCCAACTCTGTAGGTAAATAGTGAATAGCGCACATTGTCATCGTGACTGTCTTAAACTCAAAAAAAAAATCCATCCAAACCTATGAGAAAATTGTTTGATGCTGCTTGGTTTCAAAAGTAAAACAAGCAGAAAAAGATAACCAGCAGTATTTTATTCAGGATAGTATGAATGTCACTTTTAGATTAGAACTCAAAACTTTTTTCTTCTTTGTTCAAGTTATCGATTTTGTTCGCAGTTAATTGTAATCCTTACATTCTCATTTTCGACGATTTCATTTTTACCCCATCAGATTTTTATTGGAAATGTTGACACAAGTTCAGTGGTCCAGAATAAACTAAAGATGCCTCAGATAACTCGCTGGATTAGAATTGTTCCACGATCTTGGAATAATCACATTGGAATGCGAGTAGAATTATATGGTTGCGGAGTTTACCATCGGTAGGTGTTGAGCTTGATGTCACGCATGCTCAAAAGTGATTTACTCAACGCAGTATGAAAGTGGAAATGATCCTCGCAGTTGAATAAACAACCTAAGCGGTTGGGAAAAAAACCGCTTAGGTTGTTTATTCAACTGCGAGGACAGGGGCCGATCTAGGGGGAGGGTGCAGGGGGTGCGCACCCCCCCCCCCCCCCCCGTTCTTCTCGCCGTTCTTTACTTTTCTTCGTTCCATATATATTTTTCCGCCCATTTAGACTTTCCCTCGCCCCCTTTATCTGCCCCTGGGTCTCCGAGGATGGTATTGAATCTACACTTGAAATATCTGGCTTGAGAAAAGATCAGCTCTAAAAAAATAACACGAGCAATTTCGTCGCTTGAAATTGCCTGCGACTAAAAAAACACATATATAAAGAATTTTCTTTAAAAATTTCCTTCCTTTTCAGCCCTCAAGTACGAGAATCCCTGTGATGTTGCAAATGATGGCTGTTCGGGTTTGTGTTTATTAAAAGCAAAAAGCTTCTCATGTTTATGCCCCGATGGACTTCATTCTATTAAAGAGGGAAACGCTACAAAATGTGCAGGTAAGGCACACGAAGGTGACATTAAACAGTAGAACCGACCTTGATTGAAGTTGCACAGTATAACAACCTAAGCATGACAGCGATCGAAACGGGAGCGACAGAAGAGCAATTTGATTAATCAAGACAACGATGTCTTTGCATTTGTTTTACATATGCAAAGACAAAGTATAGGGGATGTGCAAGTTTGGGCTCATGCCTTGACGTCGCTTTGTTTCCTTGTACAAGAATCTTCGCTCGACTTAGTCCCTATGACCACTTTAAACCAATCTTAAAAGCGGAGCTCCCGCATTAGACTGGCTGCTTACTTAAAACAGTGAAGTCTAGACAATTCCAAAAAATGACAAATAGTTGATGGGCACCAATGACGATCGGTACAAGCACAACTTCTTTACAATTCGACAGACGCCTTAGATCTTTGCAGCTTTTCAGTAACTCTTTGCTTTAACTCTTCGAAGACAACTTGGAGGCCCTTTTCCTTGGTCTTATACTTATGTTCTAGTGCACCTTGAACTTTCCGCTTAATAGGTCCTCTCCTTAACATACAATCCAGCGGTGTAATGTCTTGTCTGAGTTCATCAATCTGTTTCTTTAGCCTTTGTCTCCATGATGGTTCTTTTCGTGCGTCCTTTATTCTTCCTTTCTTGACGCCCAACGTTCTCCCAACAGCAAACGCAGCTGCCCTTATCAGATTGTTTGTTTCAAAAATGTCCCTTGTTGTTATAACATCCTACTTGCTGAACTTTCTGCTTCACTTTTCGTCCGTCCAGCCTACGCAAGTTCTATGGTTTTGTATTGCTCCCCTGTTCAAATTCTTCCAGTATTTCAAGTGCCAGATTGATGTAATCATCATCTAGTCCATCCCTGCGCATTTTTTATCCGATAGATACGGCAGTATTGTTTTCATTCTCACTCGGTTGAGGATCTTCAAACTCAGGTTGTAAAGAGCTGTAGGGATCTGTAAAGTCTCCATGATTATCTGGAGTAACTTCTGTCATTTGCTCATTTGATGCACCACATTGGTCAATTTTCCTCCTCAGTTCTTTCATTTCTAGGTCAGAAAGCCATCTGTTAACTTTAATTGTCCTCACCTGGTCGGCAAGCCTTTGCTTACTACATTCAAATACACCAATATCATTTCTCCAGATGTTTGACATACGCTTCCCTTACCCGCTTCTAGATGGCTCACTTCTCAAGTAGCATTCCATCACAAGCTTGTTCACGTCCTCGTCCATGAAACTCTTGCATTCACTCCTTTTGTACCCTGATTGTCTAGTCATCCACAGGACCATTGCTTCCTGATCAGAGCCTTTGCTCTTGCTCTCTTTGTCCGGGAGATTATCCAATCGTATGCTCAGAGTAGCCAACTTATTATTATTATTATTTTTTATTTTTATTTTTTATTTTATTTTTATTTTCTTATTTTTATTTTTTTTTGTACTCTTTTACTAAAACATCATGTTGATAATGATGTTTTCTTTCTCCCACAGAAAAATGTGACAGCCCATTGGGAATGGAAAATGGACTGATCGAAAATAAGCAACTATCAGCTCATTCAGCCTGGGACAATAATTACCAACGCTATGGCTCGGCACGTGCTCGGCTGCACCTCAATGAATGGCCTCAAGGCTGGAGAGCGCAGATAAATGACCCATCACCATGGCTACAAATTGACTTACTTTGGACCCATACAGTGACTGCCGTGGCAACTCAGGGGTATGGGAGCAAGGGCGCAAAGGAATGGGTAAAGACCTACGTGCTCTTGACATCACGTGATGGTAAGAGGTGGTACACATACAGGGAACGAGGAAGGAAACGGGTAAGACCACTGGAAATGAAATCAGTGTTAAACTTAAAGAATAATTTTATTTTAGATTTATTTTGCAATTTTGTCAACTGTTATACAAGAATAGTAGTTTAAATTATAAAATATATTAAGATATGATAACAAGTGGCGAGGAAACCTAGTTGAAACCACGTTTATTGCTCAAGATTAGCTTTCCTAGCTCAAGAAACAAAAATAATGCAAGAATCTAAAAAGAAAGACGTCTCAATTAATAATTTGTTTCTTTAAACTTTTTTGATCTATGGAGTAATAAATGACTACTCACCGAAGAAAGACGTAGTGGGTCTAAAGCCAATTGTGATTTTGGTACTGATTCCAAATAACCTGTAATTGGGTACCACTTGTTTGCGGTGTTGAAAATTGGCAGTTACTTGAAAAGTGGCCGAGATCACTTTCCATAAAGTCTTCCTTGCCAACTCTGTAGGTAAATAGTGAATAGNACTACTACTACTACTACTACTACTACTACTACTACTACTACTACTACTTATAATAATAATAATAATAATAATAATAATAAGTAAACAAAGCTATTAAACTGTAACAAAATAGTGACAATGATGATGATGAAGATAACAGATAAGAATTAAAGATAATAAAAAGTACGAAAAAGAAAACATTACAGTCGACTCTCTCTTAACGGACACCTCTATAAGACGGACACCTCTGTAAAACGGACATCTAGAGTTGGTACCTGCCTTTCTTAGCTCCCTCTATTTGACTTTCTATAAGACGGACATCTCTCTAAGACGGACAGCTAGTGCTGGTCCCAAAGGTGTCCGTCTTAGAGAGAGTTGACTGCATGATGAGAAGATGGAATCATAATGTCATATTATTTCGGGGCATTTCCCGTTTCTTATCAGCACTGTGCAGCACTCTGCACTGAACGTGTTTAGTGCTGTATAAAAGACTTGTTATATGTTTTGCGCGGCACTTCCAACTATTACCATCAGCCTTAGGGGCGGATCTAGGGGGAGGGCGCAGGGGGTGCGCACCCCCCCTGAGATGACCGGTTTTCTAATACAACTGGTATTCTGCGAAAAAAAAAAACTATGTGGTTTATTGGTGTTGAAGTAGAGCAAGAGACGATCAGTGCACCCCCTCCTAAAAAAAATCCTGGATCCGCCCCTGGAGGATTATTTCCACTTTCATATCTTTATCCGCAGTTCAAAATATGAGTCATTTCATGGAATTATTTCCATTCATGTCATTACTAGGGAACTTAAGAAAAGGCGTTTTTGAGCGACTCACATCAACACTAAGTGAGTCCTTTTCCTTTAAATATACCTTGCTGCTACCAAATTAGTGTTGTTAAGTGTCTTTACTCTTGCAAAGGCGATTTTCCCAAACATTTGGGGAAAAACAATGACCAATTATGCGAAAATTCCACTTCCACAATCTTCTCTTTTTAAGATCCCTAATTTTTCTGTCTAAAGGTAATTTTACATGGGGTGATTCGCAACCACTATTTTTAGACCGACAAAGTTGTGCTGTAAGTTGATACCGTGTACCATAGGACCCCAAACGATTTTCGACGCCATTTTTGCGTGCATGTTTTTTAGCCATCCTCAAGAACTCCCAACGCCAACTCGTAATTTTTTCTTTAATTTGTTTGCACTTTATCGTAATCCCTCCCCCCGCCTCCCTTTCACTCCTTTTCTGACCCAGCTGTCTTCGCCGGGAGCAATCAGCATACGCGCGCGAGGTATGGTTCGTTTATCAATACCTTTGTTTGCTTAGGAATGCCTTACGTTGAAGTATAAACCAAAGGACCTCTCAGCTTTACGGAAACAGGCCTCTGGTACAGACAATTTCAAGAACCATCTCCAGATGTTCAAGTGACTTATAATTCAAGCCTACGGGAGATTTTTTTTTTGTAAATTGTAATTGTTGTGCTGTTTGCTTTGTAAGAGGAATGAGTTATTTACTTCTTGTTGCTAAGAACAGCACCCATGGCTTTTAATTTATTTGGAAAGGCTAAAAACTGAGGTACGAATATTACCTTGGATTGGCTGAACGAAACGCACCGGATCTTCAGTCAAGTTAAAGTGCACACTGAAGATCACAATAAACTGGAATCATTAAGCTAAGTTTCTCTATTGCACACGGCCGCTTCTCTGTGATTATTATGTATCATTCGTTTTCAAATTTATATTATAGAGTTTTTAATATAAACAAATGAAGAACTGCCTTTGCTTGTTAATTCCTTATTAAGAAGAAAATAGAAAGCAAAACATGCTAGCTAAGAGGTAGCAATTTGTATACACGTGTATGACACTGGGATGAATGCCGATTATTCATGCCAAACTTATTATCATGTGCTATCTATGTTTTGTACTTCTGCTTTTAGAAACAAAGTGTTAAATAGAATTTCCTATCGTAGAATTATTATGATAGACAATACATGTACTGTGTTTCTAAAAATCTTGATAGAGGAACGGAAACTTCTTTAACATTTATATAGGAAAAATTTACTGCCTTTAATACCCCAGTAAGCTTTGGCGTTGTTAGGTTTGATGTTTTTAATTCACTCATTTATATACAAGACTGAATGAAAAGGAATATATGTTACAGTCAACTTTCGAATATCATTTCGTAACTAAATTACACTAAACGAAGCTTGTGTGATGGAATAACTAGTTAATCATTTTGAAATATTCTACTTTTTAATAAAGAAAAATGTATTTTGGCCGTAGCGCTTATTATCGAGGGTATTGTATTTTAGTAAAACATCAATAATAATTTATACCAGTCTGTTACCAAGTGCCATCAAGAAAGCCCACGAATCGTTAACACTACAGAGAAATAAACACAGGCTGTTCCATCTTTAGTTTCAGTGTGATGTGTATATTGTGTTGTGGGGGTACTTATTGAGTTGACCTAAACCAGTGTACAGTTGCAATAATTAATGCCTGTTTGTTACAAAGGTCGTAACGAAAGGCCCCCAATTGTTGTATTTTTTTTTTTCTTTTTGTATTTTCCTATGGTTGTTTTGAATCAGCTTTGTTGAGGAAAACTAATACATAAGGCTTTGTTGCAAGAACGCCTTCAGTATATTAGATTTCTTAATGAATTGAGAGCCGTAGTGCAGTTTTAAATCGAGTGTTTGCGGTACCCTCCGTCTTTCTCTGTTGCAATTCCCATAGCACTTAATTTTTAATTTATAAACTCACAACTGGATTAATATTTTATAAAGCATTAAGCAGAATCTCGAAAGAAGAGTTTTTTCTGCCCCTAAGAACAAAACTTACACTTAACTTAGGCTTTTTGGCTTTGAACAGTAACCCAGTAGTAATTTTTGTATTTTCCGGAATGGATGTTTTGCATCACTGCAAGAACATCTGATTTAGTACAGTCAAAGCCCGTTAATAGGGGCACTGACGGGCCATGGAAAGTGTTCGTAATAAACGGCTCTCCGTAAACGGGGTTTGACTGTAGGTGAGAGTGTGAAGAATATTTTTTTATTTTATTTTTTTTTTGAAGATTTAATTGGGGAAATGGATTTGATGATCACATTGAATGTATACGGCGGTACCATTTACTTGAAAAACAACAACCGAAGTACAATTTCCTCCCACTGTATTACGTTTTTTTTTTATTATTCTTTTTTTTTTTTTTCTTCAAAAATTGCCTGCTAGACAAACTGATCGACGAGTTTACGGTCTTAAATAAAACATTTGGTGAACAATTGAAGGTTGCGAACAAAGAGTATTTTAAAAACGATTCCCTAGTATTGATGAGCAGCCTGAAGTCATCTTTTTAACTATCAAAAGTAGACTAAATGTTCGTGAGAACAGTTCAGCTGTTCCATAAGATTTGTGCATCAGCTTTTTATAAAAGTTTCCTCCTAAAAATAGGATTCAGCTAAGGAATACATTTTTATTGAATATCGAAAACAAAGCGGTCTTATCCTTACAGTTTTAATTAAGATATGCCCTTCTGCTTTCAATGTAAACTTGAAGAAGAGTAATCAATCTTTGTGCATTGCGTAGACAAAAAGTTACAGTTTTATTTTTTTTTTAGACATAATACCCGCCGCTTGCGTCCTAAGGCCAATTACAATAGTCCATTTTTACTGCATAGAAAGTAAACTGACTGAGCGGGGGTCTTACACTTGGTAACTAACCTAAAATCGTGTGCTAGCTGAGATGTCATACTTTGGAACCCGTTAAAGATACACGCTTTCTTCTCCTGGGGATTGCAACCCTGCGTTGAAAACACAGCACCAAAAATTGTATATGAACTGAAATTCATTTGGTTATTTATTAAACCACAGTTGCCTTTCCACGGTGTTTATGTTTCCGAAGGATTCTCAAGAGTCCATTACTCTTAAAATTTTATTTTTAGCGGTTAGAAGAAAAACTGTAAAAACTATGACATAATCGTGAAGAAAATGCTAGAAAAATGATGTCACGACTTCTCTTGGAAGTTACTGCGGTAAGTATAGTACTAACATTTTATAGTTTTTTGCGTAATTTAATTTTATTTGCTGGTGTTGCTTCTATCTGCAAATGTTCTGCTAAATACAAGTTATCCAAAAGACGTTACAACCGATTTAACTTTGAAAAAAGTTACAAAAACAGGTGAATTTGGACAGAATCGTGCCAAAAATATCGAAATTTTCAATAGTCGACTTATTCGCGTGAAATTGAGGGTGCATCAAAACTGGATGTATTATTTTATCTAGGGTTTGAAGCTCATGAGATTACCTAACTGCAGTCCTTTCAGAGAAAAAATTATGACTGACTGCAATTCGTTTTCATGTACTCTGGTTAGAAACTTGTCACCCAGAACCCCAGGGCGGCCAGAACGCGAGTGGAACAGCCTATCCAGAAGAGAAACGACACAACCAGATTTTGCTTGCGCCGGTTATTTCTTTTTAATTTATTTATTATTGTTTTTATTTTGGATTGACCCATTTTTGTTGGGGCCTTATTTGGGAAGTTGAGTCAAGATATCGCTTGTATTAACCCCTTTTGAAAGCCCCAAGACCAACTTTTCGTTTTTCCTAACAATATCAAAACTTAATAATCAAGATTAAAGGTTATGAGATGTAATAAAATTTTTGGCGAAATAAAAATGCTTTGCTCCTTTAAAATATTCTTTTACTCACTTTCTGAGGAAATGTGTGGGGGTCAGTCAAGAGAATGTGCATGTGGATATATTGAGGGTTGAAGGATTAATATGGCGGCTCTTGCGTGTTGACCTGCATAGCCATGGGAGGTTGCATGGTTCATTCCCATATTATAGATTCATTCACATGTAAACAAAAAGATACATCCGGTGAAAAGCCCCCCCCCCCCCGCCCTAATGTCACTTCCCCCTTTTATAAGCGGAAGTTGATTAACATGAAGCACTAAATTCCAAAATCTAGGGACTTTGGTGTTTGAACAACACGCGGACGAAAACTGTTTTCATGGCAGAAAAAGTAAATTCTATCAGAAAATAGTTAGTCTAATATAATAAGTCTCCGTTATTGCGACTTTTTTTTTCAGATTCTCGCAGTGTCCTATACCAAGGGCCAGGCTGGGATGAGAGCAACAGGCATTTACTTTACTTCATAACTTCATTTAGCTAAGACTGCTCCCTAAACTAAGGGCCTGTTTACATGGAGGTGGGGGATCGTTAAAAAAATAACCCTCGTTTACATGAAATCTTACAACCACGCCACCACGGGGTGCACTGTACTTTCTCAAGATTACTAAATGGTCGCTAAGCACGTGGACAAGAAAAATGCTGGCAAAACACGTGTTTTGGCGATTAATATTCTTCTATACTCACTTGCTACTCCACCTACAACCTTCAGTGCTATAGCTTTCTATTGATGCAAAGCCACCAACAAAGTGGATATGGCACGAATTTGATGTGTCATGGGTTACCCCACCTTGAAACGTTTACATGGTAAAACCTGACCCCGGATGAGAGGGTTACCTGGTCTGGCAGACCGGGCAGGTGGCAGATCACCCCACCCATCATGTAAACGCAATCAAATTGAAACGAGAGACTATATGGACAGGCGAGGCGGGTTACCCCGCCTTAACGGGTTACCTCACCTACCTGGGGTCCCCCACCTCCATTACGGAAAGTGCCTGTTTACAGTCGGCGACATTGAGACATTGTCCTTAAATGCGGCAACTTCGGGGAAGAAAATAACCCACACACCTCCTTTTCCCCTCTGTTCAAAATTGTGATCTTTGTTGTTTTCTAAATGGTATCTCGAAGGTGGCACAACATTGCATAGAGGGGGTGGGGGAGGGAAAGATTTACACTCCCTTTTTTGAGTTGACAAAACGTTAGAGAGGTTCTAGGGCAAGGGTCTCAACTAATTTTGTCGCAGATTGTAGAAACCCTTGTACGAGGTGTGACTTACTTCGCCTACACTCCATAAGTTTTTTTTTTCCCCCACAGTAGATTGAAAAAAAAAAACATTTTGCATCTAAAAATAATTATTTCGTAACTCCGCAAATTCTTTTCAATACATGGTACTAGTTAATGCGCTGCAGCTGTTTTCGCTTTTTTAACTTCCCGTGCGTCAGAAAGACCCAGCCTTCGACCTCGGCAATCTTACTAGTATGCGGCTAGAAAAAAGAAAAACAAAATTACAGTACATGACCCTCAGTAAATTCCATACTTCAAAACATTTTGTTTTTTTGTAGCTTACTATTACAACATTTTGAAGATGGAAAAGCCCTTGGATTTAAAGCCCTTGGACTAACAATACCAACATGGAAAAACAAGTACCAAAAATGTACCTTA